ACACCTGCATGCCAGACTCTTTTAAATGCTTGGGACATGCCAAGGAAGGCACTGGGTACAATATAGTTTCTCTTCAAGGGAAAATTAAATTTTATCTATCATGTGATGGATCTGGTATACTATAGAATGGTTATAAGAAAACCAAAATGAAAATCGGAAAGAATAAATTAACTATTTAAAGTAAAAATAAAAAATTAATGAAGGTTTTTATATCTAGATTATGCAATATACACAATTATATTAACTAAAAGATACATTAAAAAAATTCATTTTTTTTCCTATCTTACATTTTTGTGTTCTAAAAACTAAAAATATTATAAATAGTAGTTACACAAAAATGTTTACACAAAAATAAGAGGTAGATTAAATTAATATACCTTTGTAGTTATTATTATCTAAATTCCTTCATTTAAATTGCTTTGCAAGTTAAGATATCTACAGTAAAATATTAAATTAATATGTATATAATACATTAAAAATTTTTTTAAATGTAAATTCCATAAAATTATAAACTTTACACAGATGGGTCTTTTGGTGATATCTATAGAATAAAATTATTTTGTCTAGTGTTGTCTACCATCTATAACTATATATAAGTAAGATTATTACTTTTTAATATTTCTTTATAACTACACATGTAACATTCATTATCATTTGTAGGTTATAATAGGTACTTTATAATTCACAAAATAACATTGAAGTTGTTTTAGATATATATTTTTAAGCAATTCCTAACATAGTTCCTTTACTAATTTATCTACATGGTTTGTTTTTTAAAAATTCAAAAGCAATATAGCATATAACATAAGCGTTGACTTCATGGGGGCAACAGGGATAATTGCCTCCATACCTTTATTTTAAAGGAGGCATCACCCCTGTACTTAAATTATAAAGAAGGTAAAACATAAAAATAGCATTTTGCTTTCGTGTATAAAAATTATTTGATTATTATTTAAGCATTTATAGCTAATGAACTTTGGCATGGAAATGTTCACCAATACAACTTATTGCCTAAATACTCTAGAGATAAAATACCATCACCATTATATTATTATAAGTATATAAATATAATTATATATACCTATATAAGTAGTAATTATTTAAGTATTGATGACGGTTTTCCCTGAATTTCCATTATCCCGCCACTGATCTATCTGGCAATGACTGTACCTACTTGATCATTTTATTGGAGAGAATTGGAATATCTTTGTACAGTAGGTAAGTTTTTTACTTGCCCCCAAGCTAAAATCTAAGTCAACGCCTATGGCATCCAAGGAACCCACTAAAAATAGGATTATTGCTTTTCAAGAATATTCATGTAAAATTAAAACACGCTTAAATATTATATAAGTTTATCTTTAATGAATTTCATTTAATTTAATTACTATAATTAAGATAATATATTTTAATGTTATATATACATAGTAACCACATACAAATTTTGATTAATTATTAAACAAATAAGCCACTAATGGTTAATATATAATTATACAATTTATAGAATAACCTTTATCGTACACTTAAAATGTGTAAATAAGTAAATAATAAGAGTAATATTATTTGTTAACACAAAAGAAAAAAGAAACACGAGAGATTATACTTTAACAGATACTTCAAGGAAATTAAAGATGATTAAGAAATAAAAATAACTTTTTTAGCATCATTTTATTGTTTTTAACAATTTCCTTTCTACTTTTCATGTAGTAGATAGTCTTTCATTCAACTAAATGGGCATATTTTCATTAATTTTAAAGTCACAGATCATACGTAGGTAAGTCTCTGAAAATGTGTTAGAATAAAAATACTCAGCAAATAAATATAGAAGAAAGTATTATCATCAAATTATACCTGAAAGATTAAAAGATACACGCATACATAACATTGGGTTTTTCTATAAGATTTGCCATACACCTCACGAAATAAATCATAATTATTCATAATCTCATATCAAGGTCTACTGCACACACACAAGCAGTTTTGTAGGTGATCAAAGGCCATAAAATAAATGTCTGAGCAAATTACAGTTAGCAACGATTCAGATAAGTCAAAAACGGAATTCCTAGGGTAGCAAAACATGCAAATAAGATACTAGGTATGAAATATCGATTTGTTTCTGGAATTTAAAAAAAAAACGGGTGTGTGGTGGTAGTGGTGTTCTCGGAAAATATGTACTCTTATGATTCCAATGAAGTATGAACTCCGTTTTCATCCAGTTACCAACGTTGATAATAAATTAATAAACATTAAACAACAATGTACACAATGATTAATTTAATATCATTATTATTTATTATAGTAGCGAGAACGTCCACAGTACGGCTCAAGCAATATTACTATATTAGCAATAGATATAGTATGCGGGGTATATGATAGAAAAATCCCCGACAAAATGGCGACTATGTTGACATTGATTAGTGACAAAAAAAAAAATTGTAAAACAAATAATAACAGGATATTCTGATCGTCGTTATCGTCGAACACCAATAATCCAGTATAATAATATAACATTTAATGAATATATTTTCACATATTATCAATTTATTTTGAATTAATTATTGTCGCATTTCAATGAGTACGAACGGACGCAGTTAAACAACACCGTACTTATATTAGTAGTTAGTACCTACCTACTCGATAATATTGGACGAATACACGTCTCTTCGACTGTCATTCAAAAACATCCACACAAAGATAATAATATTAGTCAACCTCATATGTACGTACCTCGTCCCGGTGCTGTTCGTGTTGGCGCGACTTTTTCTCTTCGTGTTCATCCTGCCGTCGTCGTTTCGGCCGGAAAAGGCGCAGTTCTTCGTCGGGACCGGAATTTTGAATAATTTCTAACACGGAACAATTATTAATACGATGTGCGGACGCGGCGGCCCTCTTCCTATGCACAAAACACAACGGGTATATGCTATTACAGAAGGAAGATGATTTCCGAAAGGTTTTCACAATCGGTCGGGGCGGTGAATTGAATAGGTTTCAACAAAGTGTGCGGGCAACGTAATGTCGTCGTGCTCGAGAGAGCGACAGAGAGAGACTACTTTGTTGTCGGTGCGGCACACGCGAAAATCCGCAACGAACGTCCGTTTGCACGATGCGCGTCGACGTCGGATGGTCGAACAAAGACGGACGGACGACACGAGACGCTTTAGCGATTTGCGATCGACGCTAATCGTCTTCGATTGATAAAAACAACGACGAAAAAACGAACGCGTATTGTATTACTATTATTTATATTATTATTATGATTATTACTATTATATTATTACTACGCGTGCATACGTATACAGATATGTATAATATGCGAAGCGCGCGCGCGTGTGCGTGGGGTAAAAAGGGGCGCAGGAACTATAGGCGGCGGCGGCGGCGGCGGCAGCATAGGCTAACGGACGACGCGCGACACATCGATCAAGTTCACTGCACTCGGCGGCGCGGCGGCGGCGTGCCGCAGCCGCGTCGATGACGTACCTGTGCGTCGTGTGGTCGGTCGGCACTGCGGTGCCCAAGACGTGTGGCGCGGCTGCTTGACTGAGTTGACTGCCAGACGGGCGGCGGCGTGTCGTGTATAGAAGTAGTAACGCGCGCGACCGATCTCACAGCGACAGCGGACGACGCGGCATGTCGAGTCGTCGGTTGGAAAAAAATAATAAAACAACTACGATAACAAAACACTACTATTCCTCCGTACGAGGCTCCCTCAAAAAGTACTTTTAATACATCGAATGCACCACAATTTACCAATAAAATAGCATATACTTTTTAAATGTATTTGTGTACATATATTATATATTATTATACATTTTCATATATACAGAAGTATGTATGTAATAATATATATATATATATATATAATATTATCGTGTTTGGTACTATAGTAGTATATAGTAATACCGTCTTGTGAGCGTGCGCGAAAGTCCGCGCGGTACGGTACTACGATCGTCTGGCGGTGATTCAGGGAGTGGGTTTTTCGATGGCGGGGAATTGCGGGCGGTGCGTCCACCGCCACCAACAGAACTATTATTGGTCCATGGAACCACACATCGCTCATGGAATAATGCGTCGTCGGACATATGGTATTTTTAAACCGTCACGGCGCCCGCCAACTGATCGTAGTTCGTGTGAATTGTGGATACCTACCGGATTCGATGGAAAATAAAAACCTATGTAACGAGTTACGACTAACGAGTAACGAATAGTAATGTGCTACCGCTACGTACAACGTGCATTGAAATCTAGTGGCTCAATATGATTTGTTTTCCTAAAAAAATTACTTCATAAAAAGTCTTTTTATACAAAGAATTAAATTCTCTTGTTTTTTTCTGGGATCACACATCTCAAAAAAAACCATTGACAATCGACGTAGTCATGTGTGTGTTGAGTGACTTGTATTATATTGAATATTGACCTTATGATCGTAGCAACTGGGGAGCCAAAATTTGAACTGAAGTACTGTCGCCATATCTTTTAGGTTAAATATGACCTATATGTTTTCACTATTATAGACATCACAATCAATAGTTCAACACCAATGAAATAAAAACCAATTTTAATTAAATATTTATTACTGCGTGTAGATGTACCTTATCAGTATCTTAGTAATACAAAAAAAATTTGACACACAGACTAAAATATAATATATAAGACCTTACTCCAAGATATGACATATTTTATTATTTTAAATAAATAATAAATAACAAAAATATAACATAACAATTAACAACCCAAGATAAAATAATAATAGAATATTGTATAACATTACATAATGGTAGTAATATAATAATGAGAAATCAAATTAAAAAAAAAACAAAAATATTAATTATTATGAACAAATTAATCTATAATAATGGTAGTGAGTGAGCAAAACAAATAAAACTCCAATCAGATTGTTTATAATGTTTATAAAATAATAAAATTTTATATTGATTTTGTTCTTTGTTCTAAACATTCAAAATTTCAAAAAAATATCAATTTGTTTTTTACATACATATATATGTAAAAACGATATAAAAGTTGTAGACACATAAAATACAAAATAGAATTAACATATTCAATAATTTTAGTTTTTCTTAGATTCTAATGGATTAACAGCAACACTTTCGGCAGCAAGTTTTACATATCCATCACCACTAGAACGATTTTGTCGCTGATTTAATTTATCTAAAAAAAAAAAAAAATGTTTAACACTTAAAACAATAGCATATTGTTAAAAATATATGACATTTTTAAAAAATATGAATAAAATTGTTTAGATACTAAGTATATTTTATACTAACCAATCGATTTTTGAGAAGTTAAATTACTTCCTGAAGGTTTTTTGGGCGTGTTAAATAGATCATCATCACTATCATCACCAAATATAGACTTTGTTTTATCGGAATTCTTTTTTGTAAATTTTTGGTTAAATTCAAATTCATCATCGCTATCAAATATATTTGATATTGTTTTATTTACTTTACCAGATTTCCGAGAGAATAGATCATCATCATCATCATCATCATCATCAAATAAAGAATTAGATTTCTGAAGTAACAAAGTATTTGAAATCATAGATTTAGATTTATTTTCTTCTAATTCTTTCATACTGAATACTTTAACTTGTGTTTCATGTGTTCGTTCAATTTCTGAAACTTTTTCATTAATTGAATCAATTTCTGGTTGTTTTTTTTTTATTAGTTCAGTTTCCAATTGTTTTTCTTTAACTGGTTCATTTTCTAGAAGTTTTTTATGATTTGATTCAATTACAGGGAGTTGTTCTTGTACTGATTTATTAGATTCTAATAGTTCTTCACTCAATATTATATTTTTGTTATAATTACTATCTTTTTTATCAAACTCTTGTTGAATTGACTTGGATTGATCTAAATCATCATCAAATAAATTTTTTGTTAGCTTATTTTTTGATTCTATTTTTTCATCATTTTCAACAATTTTATTTTTAACTTCATTTGAAGAATCTACATCTGTACATTCATTATTTAATATTGGACTAGATTGATAGTCATCTAAATTAGATGTTGAAACAAATAGGCGAGATGATTCTTCAAAGTTTGTTGCAGAACCAATATCTATAGATGACATTCGAGCAGCAGCTATTCTAGCTTTTCGACTTTGAGGACGTCTTTTTACTTGAATTCTAGCTCTTTCCTAGAAAAAATTTTACAAAAATATAAACACAAATAAAGAAATAGAATTAATTTTTTTTGTATAAATATTAATTATAAGAAAATTACAATTTGTGGTGCAAAAGGTTTTAAATATTATTTATTGGTTTTTATTAATATAATATTAACAACTTATAATAGGTTTTAGTTTGAATTATTATTTTTTAATATTAATTACTTTTTCAGCACTGAAAAGTTTTGTTCCATCAGTTGGTAAGGTATCATTTTTTTCATCCAATGAAACTGATCGAGGAATATCAGATATTTTCAATGGGCTTTTAGAATTAGGAAGTAGACTAGCAACATTTATAAAGGCACCAGCATTTTTATTTAATTTTCCTGAAAAAAAAAAAATTATTTTTATAATATAGTAATATGTATTGATGATTTTTTAGTTGCAAAATAATTTTCATTTTATACTCTTCAGTACTTGGGAAAAATTAATTTAAAAAAAAATTGAGAATCAATAATGAATAGTATAATAATATAATCAACAAAATATAATTAAATTTTATTTTACTTTTTATCTCTTAAAAAAATTCAGTCATGCTAACTGGAATTTAATTATTCGCCGGATCTTATAGTCCAACATTAATTCACTGTTTTAAACAATCAGTTTAGATAAATATCAACTATTTTTAATGGTATTAAATTTATATATGAATCTAATATTTATTGTAAACTAAAGTATTAATGTACTTTCTTTATTATCTATCCAAATTATCTATTCAGTTTAAATTTAAAATATCCTTCAATTTAACAACATATTGTAATTATATCAGTTAGCTTATTGTCAATTTTCAAAATGTCCTAATTTAAACACAATTGAACTTGATTTGTACTAATTTCAACTAATTATAATGTTACAATACTTTTTTTCTATTTTATTAAATTTATTTAAGAATATTCATTTTATTTATCTAAATAGAAAATTATATTAACAGCAATAATTAAAATGGTATTATTTAAAATTAGCTTTACCTGGAAGTTTTTTTAGAGTTTCATTCCTTGAATTTGGCAAACTGAGAGAAGATCCATCAATAGAATCCTTTAAAGACAAGTCTGATGTAGGACAAATTACGTCAATTTCTTGATTAGTATTCACATTTTGAGTATTTGAATTAAATTGTTGTTCATCACTACTTATGAAAATAGGATTTTCGATGCTCTGAATTGTGTTTTCTGAAGAAATAGATACTGTCATAATATTGGATGCATTTAAATCTTTTTTTTTCAATGGTTCTTGATTTTTATTATTAAGTAAATTTCCCGTTGAAAAATTTGATGTTGGAGAAATCATTTTAGTTTCTTTATTAGAATTCTCATTTTGAATTTGTGAACTAAGAATTAATTTTTGTTCATCATTACTTGATAATGTGGAAATTTTATTACTATGGATTGTATTTTCATTTGACATTATTTCATTTTTAGGCATATGAATCTCTTTTTGACTGAATAAATCACGATTCTTACTATCTTGTAAGCTATCAGGTGCTGTATTCTGAAACATATCTTGATTGTTTTGATCCATTTTTGGGCTTAAAAATTCTTCAGATGACAAACTAATAGTTGATATATTTTCATTTATATTTTGATTATTAGATAAACTAATAAAAGCATCAGAAATGTTTTTATCAAAGGACAAATAATTTTCATCTTCATCATCAGACAGTAGACTAAAATTTTTTGTATTATTTTTATCAATGTCATTTCCCATTTGACTTATTTTATCAATATTTGTTGCTTTATTCGTTATGGCACAATCATCAATCTCTTTATTTCCAATTTCATTAAAACTAGATTGTTTTCTATGTTTTGAAAATGTATGACTATAATTTGGTTTATTAGTAACAAATAGATCATCATCAGAAGAAGAATCAAATAAGTCTTTTTTCAGTCCACGAACCTCGGGATTTGTAATTTGACCAATTTCACTTGCATTAGAAATTAGTTGATCTTTTTTAATACTATTTTTATTTGGTTTATTAACATTAAACAATGTATCCTCATCCAAATCGTCTTCATCCGATGAAAAAAAATTACTTAACTTTTTTGCCTGTTGTGAATTTGAAGGCTTTTGGTTACTTTGTATCATTATGTTATTATTGTTCAGAGATTCTATAGTATTGCTATTTAAAGTGTTATCATTTGGTAAAAATTCTTCTTCTGTAACTTTATTATCAGCCACACTAGGATTTATTGAATCCTTTTTTAATTTATCAGTAATTTCCTTATTTAATGTATCTTTAACTTTATCTTTTTCTATTGGGAGTTTTGATAAATGTTTTATTTCATTTGATTTATTTAATACTTTAACATCTTCAACATGTATTGGAGAAGAACTTACAACAGATATTTGTTTTGGTATTATTTTATTGATAGATTTATTACTAAATAAATCATCATCAGATGAAGAGTCTAAAAGTTTTGTAGAATTATTATCAATAGTAGAATTAGCTTTTGTTTTCAGTTTTGAATCCATAAAATCTTCATCTGAATCTGATTCTGAAAATAAGTTTCTCGACAAAATTTTATCTTTTGTCAAACTTTCTTTAGATTCTAAAATATTTGATTTTAATGTTGAAGAAACTGTAACTGTTTTTTTGGTAAACAAATCATCATCATCTGATTCTTGATCAAAGAGCGATCGTTTTTTTAATGGTTTAGTTTCTTTTATTAACTCTTTATGTGCTATAGTAACTGAATTTGAATTGAAATCGTCAACAACTTTATTCGAAGTATTAAAATCTTCAGTTGTATCATTTTGTGTTATAGCCATTTTTTTACTTATTTCAGGTATTATTGATGGTCTGTAAATAACAATTTCATCAAATATTTAAATTATTAACTTCTATTTACATATTAATTAATATTACAATACTATTAAACATAATTAACTAAATTTATTTTATAATTGTGAACTCATAATTAGTACCTAGTACCACAAGAGTATGGCTATATTACATAAATATGTGATATGTTATATCCACCACAAAATATGATTACATTTAAATAGATATTTGTAATTTAATTGACAGTACTTTATGTTTGAAGCAGGACTAGAAATGTATGGTTTTATATCAGTTCCGCCAAGAATATTAACAGCTCCTTTGGGTAACTAATAATTAATAAACAAACTAATTATTTATAAGATTAAGATTAATAATAGTAAAAAACAATTACTTTTGTTTTTGACGATATGGCATTTAAATTATCTGACTGAGAAGATGTACTATCTGTAATATAAAGTATTTTAAAATTAATAAAAAAATAATCAACCATCAATTAGTCATTATAAGCTATATGAAATAAATAACCTTTTTGGAATCGTTTTCGCAATTCATCATTCAGTGTTTGTTGTATACTTGGTGCTTCAACCTTTACTTGAGTATAAGATTTAGGTTCTTGCAGAGGTGGTTTGTCTGAATATATCGGTAAAGGTGGTTCATTTGAAAAATCATCATTGTCATCATCATCAATATCATCCCACAAATTTTTTTCACCAAACATATTACTACTACCATTACCAAATATATTATATTCATTTTCTAAATTTTCATCTTCATCGTCATTAATTAAAGGTGGTGGAGTAAACAGATCATCTATTAAAACATTTTGGTAAAGTGTATTATTAAAAAGGTTAGTACAAACAAGAAAAATAAACTTTAAAAATACATGATTAATATTCATCAAATATTAAGAGATAATATCATTTGAAAATGTATAATTTTTAATTCTAAACTGATTTAAACTCTATCTCACTCAACTTATTTATTACAAACAGTAATTTTTGAAAATTAGTTGGATTAAGGCTCTAATACTGTCAATGCAAAAATACAGAAAAATTCTGATCAATATGATGTAGTCAGAGCCAGATTAAGGATTAGAACTGTCTTAGAGCAATTTATATATTGTACACTTTATCAATAAAGCTATTACAACAATATATATTTCATGTATAATATTATATAAATATTTAAAAAACACCACTCAAAAGTAAAAGCTCTTTTTACACCAAGCTTTGAATTTAGTATAAAATATAATGGCTATAAATTGAGCGTTAGTGTGTTAATTTAATAAAATAACTTTATAGGTCATTTAACTATATATTATGATCTTAAATGCAAGTATTTTAGTATTTTCTAATAATTAATAAACAATATTTTTCCCAGATATAAATTTTGTTTTAAGGTAAAACAATTAAATATTAATACAAGAATTATAAAATCAATATTTGTATATATTACCTTTACCATCATCTACATAAGTGGGAATATTTTTAGACTTCGGTTTTTCTGATTCAAAATAAATGTTATTGGCACCTATTAATTCGGAATTAGGTTCATATGTATTTTTTGATTCACTAATAGAATATACATCTTCTTCAGGTACATCATTGCTAGATAATGATTCCTAAACAAATGTAAAATAATTTATAACATAATATAAACTTGTAATTGCAATTTTTTTTTTTTTTTTTGAGTGTTATAATAATTTGAATCTAGACAGTGTCTATCAAAAATGCATTTTTTTATTAACTATCTATACACTGTTCATCGTGAAAATGTGACTACATAAGCATTACACACTAATTATTCTGGACTTTTATTAGTTTTGCTTTAATCTCCAATCTCATTCATTGATTGGTTATTAATTATTATAAATATTACAGCAGTTGACAAAGAATAATTTTGGTTTGTGTACACTCATATTCTCTCAATGAACGTTGTATAGATTGATCTTATATATAACTGATTAATTTAAAAAACTAATTTTACCTGATCTTTAAATGTATTTGTAGGTTGTTCAACATCAGAATCTGAATCTGAAAACATAGCATTATCTACGACAATTTCAGATAATGTATTACCACTTAAAGAAGGAAGATTTAATTTTTTGTAAAATATCTTTGGCCTTAAAATAGTTTCTTCATTTCTATCACAAAAACATAAATGGAAATATTATAGTCTAAAATAAAGAAATAATCTTAAATAATTCTAACCTAAGTTCATCATCATTGTCATCAGAATCACTAACTACAACAGTAATTTTTTCAAAGTGAGTATCAATAGCTTTAAAGCTGTTTTTAAGTGCTTCTTTTATATTATTTATTAATGTATCAGCGTCATTGGTTTCTCGTAACACAGGTTTCTAAAAAAATATATTTAAATTAGTTAATATAATTATATTATACATAACAATCAACTATATTATTTCTATATATTCTTTTTTAAATATTGATATCTTTATTATATTTACTTCAACTTTAGTTTGCACTGTTTCATCTTCGTCTTGAACTTTGTTTTCTATAAATTGTTTATCTGCTAATAACTGAAATTCATTATTGATGTTTGCTATTTGAACTGCAGTGTCATCTATGCTGGCCACTAAATCGTCCAATTCATTTAATGTATTTTTTGCACCTTGAGTTATTTTCTAAAAGTATTTAAATTATTATATATTAATAAGTACTATTATTTAATTTGAAACTTAAGTTATAAAACATAACTAGTATTTATAATAAAACAGAATAAATAAAATCAGAAAAACCTTAAAAGTTAAATTTTTTTATAAACTTTGAGAATAGATATGATTCACTATTAATCGTGAATTAATGTGATAAAGAATACAAAGTAAAAACAACAGTGACTATAGAATGTGATTACAATATTACACAATCATATTAATTAATAACAAAAATAATACTATTATGAGTTACACTTACATTGGACAATTGTTGAAGATATTCTGCTAATCGCGATTCATCTTCTTGATCCCATTCTTTGCGTCGTTCAATAAAATCGCTCAAAGTCAAAACATGAGTTTCCTTGGGTGGTAATTTGTCCTATTAAATTTTTTTCAAATAATATTAAATGACATTGTAAAATAAATCTAACATGTATTACGCAACACCTACCTCCATAAGATATTTAAATGCTGAACAAATTTTTTTAAAACATACAATTCACTATTATCGTAGTGACACGACAAATAATAGTTGAGAATGAAAATTTTTGATTATTTTAATTGGTTAATTATAAAAATAATAGTACTTTGTAGTTTGTATTCGATTCGACGTGTAATGTAAATTATTGTATCATTTTATTTATGAAGGCTAGCGAGAAATATTACCATGATTAATAATTATTATTGTTTTCATAATTTTTGATACAAGACACTATAGATAGTAGATTCTGAGAAAAATAGTAAAATTCATACAGATAGTGATAACTCAGATAAGAGTGCAACTGTTTTCAACGTCAAAAAGTATAAGATTAAAATTTAAAGACACTATTAAATGTTAAATGTTGTGAGAACTGTAAAAACTGAAAGGAATAGAACTAATAGAAGAGACATTAAAGGCGAGATTTTTGAGAGATGAAAGAACAGAACTACTAATTATATTAATTTGGGTAGTAATTTATAAATTACTGGTTGGCACGTCAATAATATTTAAAATTATATACCTAAATGAATATTTATTTTTGATTTTAAATTTAACACAACGCTACTGTAACAGTATCTAGCATAATCACGGCCATTATTTAATTACTGTTGATGATAAATTATTTTTATTAATTATTTTATGTGTTGATTAACATATTTAACACTCACACAGTCACACATGTTGACAAATTATTAAAATGTGATGATTTGATTCATAAATAAAAAATTTGCTATTCATAATCAAAATATCCTTTATCCATTCAGTTCCCGAATAAAAAAAAAAATGAATGTATGCTATAGCTACCCGCTATGAAACCAACCAAACCAACTCATTTTAATTTTATTCTTCAGATACCAATGGTAGGTTTTTGGAAATTTGGAATAATTGGTAAACTTCCTAATTAGTTAATTTTTTATATTTTTCATTTCTTATTGAGTCTATAGATTTAGCAAGTATTCTTAAAGATATTCATTTTTTCCTCGTTTCCCATAATTATCAACTAGATTTCACACCTATAAATCAGGACTGAGTGTAAAAATCCAAAAAAAATAGTAGGTATTCTTTTGATATTTTGAAAGAGCGAATTAAAACAACTTTTCTAGAACATGATATACCTACCTTAGTTCTTCATAAAATTTAATGTCATGTTTTATTACTAATATACCACATCCACGCACATTTTTTATAAATTATTGAAATTCATATTTTTACGACAGTGGACATCAAAACATTTAACTATGATAATGTTTTCTTTTCTAATGGTATTTTTTTCATTTTGATGAAATTTAATAAGTATTAACCATCAAAATTTGAAACTTTTCACAAATACTTAATTATTTTTACACAATACAATTTTCAAATGATTTATACTGATTGTGAGCTTTTTAAACAAACATTTGAAATATTCTGTTTTTTCTATAAGTTTTTATACTTGATCAAAAACGTGAAAAATGTATAATGAGATTCTTCATGAATCATGGCATATAGATTGTACCGATAAGTGATAATAATATAACAATATCAAAAATGCATTTACACATTTTTTAAAAGTAATTTAAAGTTATTATTTCCAAATTGAATCATCTTATAAGTAATAATCAATTAATCAAGTATCCAATCACTCACATGGAGGTCTAAAGATATTTTTATTTTTATTTAAAGAGGGGAGAAAAATATATAAATTTAAATTTAAGCTAAATAAAGGGAAAAAAGGTGTACTTTTTTATTTCAACATATAAATATAAAATAATATTTTATTATATATTTAGCACATATTATATGCTATTATTCATATAATTAATATATGTATTGGTATATTATAGTTACCTAATAAAAATATTAGTACAAGAAAAAATAGAAAATAATAAAATAAAATACATATAATCAAATATATTATTTGGTCGGTATACAAGAACTGCATTACATTTCTTTGTTTTATGTCTTAAGTTATTAGGTAATTATACCACAGTAATATTTATTAAATTACAAGTTAATATTGTTTCTCCAAAAGGGAGCAAGTGTCCCGTTTTAACCACTATTAATGAGTGTCCAATGTCCGTCCACTAATTTACCTAAATAGCTGCTAAAATTATAATGTTGTGTAGAAAATACATATAGGCTAGTAACCTAAAATAAAGGTCCTACTAAAGTATATATATTTAATAATACAATTTAATATAAGATTTCTAGTAAGTTATTCTTACTAGGTATAATTGATAGAAAAAATAATAGAATTAAAGGAGCACACAACACAAAAAATAAGTTTTTTTTTATTTGAAAGAATGTTCAATTCTAAGGATAATGGTATAGGTTTTACGTTTCTACTCACATTATTCAATAAGTTATGAGCAATTGAAAAAAGTTCATCATGATGTGCTGTTTAACCAAAATGTCTCTTTTAAGATTTTTAATATTTAAAAAACTAAACGTCATATTGAAATTCTGATTCTTGCATCGCCTTAAACACATAAAACCACACATATTTACATAAATTAAATTTCAAAAATAAAATGTTTAGGTTGGTAAATCGTTGTGAGAAGCGAGGAACTTTTACACGTATAAGATAGGCAATTACGAAGAGTAGGGCCCAATGACGTCACGTGGCTATTTTACATTTCTTAATATCTCCTAAAGTAATAATTTTATTTACATCGAATTTTCACCAAATCATTTCATATAGCCATAGTTACAATAATTTAACACTTAAAAATAATTTAAAGATTTTTTTTTTATGTTGTGTGCTCCTTTAAGTCAGATTTTTTTTACATATTTCTCCAATTATTCAGAATATTTTGGATCTGTTTAAATAATCAAATAAATCATCTGTAAAATATATTATATTTTTAACTGCATCAACTGTTTATTTAACAAAAAATAATAAGTTGTATTATATATTTATATATAATTTTACATTATGTATGACAAACAAGAATATTTTCACTACAATTAATAATGCATACCTTTATATCAATAATAATATTTTAATACATAGGTTTAATTTTAGATTTAAAAACAACTACTTAAAAAATATTGTAAGAAGTTACAATAAGAAGTTTGCAGTATATAACAATAAAATTTGTAGGTAGACTAATTTCTAAACAAATAAAAATATAGAATTTAATTATTTCAGAAACATAACATAAATAATATAACAAATAATAATAATAATAATATATGGGAGCTCTAACAGACTAGAAAACAATGTAAATATACAAAGTTACAAGCAACAGTATAATAATAAAATAATAATAATAATAATAATTATGAATGAATTGTTCCAATATTTTTGATCTTATTTATCAATATTTATTTTTCTTACGTATAGTAAAAACTACTATTGTAATAATTTAATAATATGGAATGTATTATAAGCAATATACAAATAAAAATGTGCAGACTGTGATTAAGATTGGTAACTTTTTTAATGGCATAAGTAACCAGCAATCATTGCAACATTACTTAATCATTGTTATGGCATTTCATCACTTTTTTTTTACAAAATAATAATAAAAATAACAAATAAAACTTGTGTAAAAATATCCTAATAAATCTTTTTCATTGATTAATAAAAAATATATAAGCTCAAAGATCACATCATAGTACAAACTTTTTTCAAATCAGAATCAAAATCTTGATCAAGGTCCTTTACATCAACAGGGACACGTCCAAACACATTGGGCATATATTGATTATGACAAAGACCTTCACGTTCATAAAACAACATGTATGCTCCACTAGTATCTATTTCACCAGTGACTTCCTAAGAAGTGTAAAATAATTAACTGTTTTAATTTAATTTAATTATTTTTAATTGCTTAAATTTAAAACTTTACCTTACAACTACTGTCATTATAACAGTACCATTTTCCATTAGGATTACAAGCATATGATACATAATGACCGCCTCCCAGAATTCCAGAGTGACACTGTTAAAAAACAGAATATTTTATAGAAGGAATGTAATTTTAAGACTAAAGTAAATAATTGTACTAATAAATTATCACAACTACCTACATAATTTTCTGGTAAACTAATTGATATTGCAAAGACCACTGGTTAATAATGTTAAATTATTTTCAAAAAATTTGATAATTTACAATATAAAATTATTATATAACTAGGTTTGTTCAAAAATACTTTAAGTGTTAAGCATTTAGAAACAATTTACCAGTATCCTGTAACATGCATTTGATCTGAAAATCTTAAATTTACTGGCTTTTTCAGAACATTAACCATAATACTTATAATATATAAAGAGATGATTAAGTGAGTCATGAACCTAAATTACATTTTGAAAATAAAGTAAATAGGTATCTATGTTTGTAACAGAAAATTGGTTTATGCTTTACACATTAAATTTTGTTGGACAGACCTATAATATTACTTTGTCTTGTAGATTAATATTTAGTATTAACCTGTGGTAATTTCAATAACAGAACTGAGTTAACTAGAAAAATGTATAGGTAGTGTTAATTTATAAGTATTTAAATAATATTATTTTGAATAATTTACCACAACAGCGTATAAGTTGTACTTCAAATCTAATGGATTAAATTCACCAACTAACTTATGCTGATGAAAATCTTGCAAAGCTTTATCATCAATTGGTGTACGTAAAAGAGAAGTAGATTCTAACCTTTTACGTTGTGAACCTTCCAGTTCGTTTAGGTGACTATTAGTATTTAAAAGAGTGTCACCATCTAAATAAATAATTAATTATAAATAAATTTAAAATAAAAATATTGAAGTACATTCTTTAATGATTTCTTATTAAATAGTTTTGCATAAAATTGAGGTAATATAATTGTTATATTTTGGTAAAAAAAATTATATTTTTTTCAAGATAAATAAATAATTTAATTGCAATAGAGAACAAAATATTTATTTAAAAACATCTTTTTATTTATTTTAATAGATCATATCTCATCTTACCAGCATTTAATAAAGCAGGTTTTAAATCTTCTTTATTGTTTGATGGATATTGTTCTCTATTAAAAAAATAAATAATTTTGTTAAGTGATTAGACAAAGAAATAGTTATTTTTTTTTTTTTTATTTACTGTAGATTTTTAGTTGTATCTTGTAATTCTTTGTTTCTTAAAACAGTATGTTTTGGAACTGAAGCCAAATAATCAGTTGGATCAAAATCTTTAAAAGGAAATTTTACCACTTTATGTGATTTTACCCATTTTC